ATATATATATATATATATATATATATATATATATATATGCGCCATATTATTCCGGGAGAAGGGTAGTTATTTTGAAAAGTTACGTTTAACAAATCCAACCAGATTGGCTGACCTGTATACAATCACTTAATGGATGGACAATCTGACAGGATTACTTCTGGTTGAATGGCCAGACATCTACACCTAGCTAGCTGAATAACTGAGTGTGTAAAATAAAGAGAAACAGGGGGCTATCTGACTTTCTACTTAGCTGGAACAAGAACAGAAAACAACCATTATGCTGTTGCAGGCTTGGGTGTATAAAAAAAAATAAAAAATAAAAAGGATATTGTCAGTGAACTGCACTTGTATAGTTGGGTGAGTAACATTACTTAACCAAACCATAATAATAATACTAATAATTACTTTTCATGAAGTGTATGTTGCATACATGGGCACAGTGGATGATGTTTTCTGTTCAGTCAAAATTTTTCTGCCAGTGTCAGAAGGTATGCGATTTGAAATTGTCTATATTTTGTCAATTCTTGGAAACCAACAACATAATAAGACGCTATTTAGGCTCCTAGTGTAGCTGACCCTGTGCTAATTTGTACTGGCCACCCCAAGTTTTTATGTATATGTTACATTACTTGTATAGTAACTTATTGATGTGGCTACAATTTGGCTTTCTTACCGTTATTACACCACCTTCATCCAAACCGTTGATGTAAGGTGGACCTATATTTTCTTGTTTACCTTAAAATCCCACCTATTTATCAGAGAAGGCAACATTCTTAAGGCAAGTTCTTAGCTGGCAGGTTCAACACCCAATATTTTCTTCTGCTGCTAAAGCTGAACCCTTCAGCTACAGGGTTCAATGCTCTCTGTAGGCAGATCCTCCATTCGGCAGACCTTGGCTTACTGGTTGTGGAAAAGCAAACCGGTTGTTCTTCATTTAAAAGCTGGCTCTAGCACCAGTACTGGTAAAGAACAAAAGAGGTTCCCAAATGAGGCAGTGATGTTAGAGTATTGTGTGTCATTCCATTTACTGAATTTCTATCATGTGATATCACCAAATTCTTTTTCTATATGGAGCAAATAAAATCTGTGAGCAAACAGAATTGCCCTGAGAGCACAGGTTATAATCCCACAGAGGTTCATAGCATCAGTTTATAAACTTGAGCCAAACATGTTTAAGACATTACAGAGAAAAACAGTCTTGAGGTGAAGCAGAGAATATTTGTTTGTAAGTTATTTTTTATTCAGAGCAGGACCATATTGGTCTTTTAAACTTGTTTTAATTTTCCCTTTTTTTAAATGTAGCACTTTGTAGCACTTTGAGATTTGAAGTCAAATGTAAAGTGCGTTATAAATAAAATTCATTATTATTATTATTATTATTATTATTATTATTATTATTATTATTATTATTATTATTATTATTATTATTATATTTGGAATTAAAAATAAAAACTTCCACTCATAGCTATCTATGCTCTTATGGTTTTAAATAAATAGCCCACCAAATAGCAGCCCCTGTAAACTGTAATTTATCACAATGCGGTGTTCTTATTCATGTATTAAAACTCTTCACATCAGTACAACAACACTGACCTGCAGAACATGATTATGGTACAAATGTATGCATTATCAAAAAAGGAAGATTTCAGAAATAAGAATGTTATTTGTAAAGACCCCAAACAACTATTATCTATGTGTTATTCTCCTCACTCTGGGTGGTCTGCGTCTGTTCCTCTAGGGATTGTTTCCAGCAGCGGCTTATCTCCAAATGCTCAGGTTCAGTTAATTGGCATTATTAAGCTTGTGGCGAGCTAAATTCAGATCTGAATAGAGGGAGTAGAGGGGTACGATCAGGAATGTACGTGTCTGTCTGCCTAGTTAGACGTGTGGGAGTGAACGCTCTAACATCTCTGTCTGTGAATTTGTTGCCAGCTGAGACTGTTTTTGTGTGTGCATGGAATTTAAAGCAAGAGGCTATCAATTTTATTCAGAAAGGCACGTGGCATGCCTTAGGCCCTGGTAGCCCAATTATAGCCAGAGACGCTCAATGAAAGAGCAGAAGCCCATATCTATCTTCCTTTCTTTAGATAGAAGACAAGACAGTAGTAAATGTAATGTCGGTCGATGACTGAGACAGAAGCAGAAACTTTTGAATGCTTTTGCTTCAAGTGAATGAATACACAAGGTGGATGAACAAAGTCAAAATATTAGAGTATTATTCAAGATAGGGCTTGTACTATTCTGGGTAACATGACTTAATATATTTTAATAGAAGTGTAAATTATATTTATTTTATCAAAACTTTGAAATATCTCTAATTTTTCAATTGTCTGCTTTCTTTTTAGGGTGGTAAAATCCCAGTGAGGTGGACAGCACCAGAGGCCATCGCTTACAGAAAGTTCACCTCAGCCAGTGATGTGTGGAGTTACGGTATTGTCATGTGGGAGGTGATGTCATACGGAGAGAGGCCTTACTGGGACATGTCTAACCAGGATGTAAGTGCTATAAAATATAGAGACTCATAAGTTTTATGTGATGCATTTTTCTTTGAAAGACAGTGGTCAACTGTATTCTATCGGATGCTGTGAGCTGAGAACCAGGGGAAAATGTTGAGCATTGAGAGAGGCAGGTCTTGTAACATTTTGGCGTCAGGAGCAGCGCGCTGAATGCAGAGCATGAACCATTCAGAAAAACAGATCGAGGACATGTCTGGGAGAAAGACGCTATGAACAAACCGTGATTGTTTCTGCAGAGCTGTCAGCATAAAACTTATAAAAAGTGAATATAATCACAGATCAATCTGATAATCTTTATAAAAGGATTATCAGATTGATCTGATTGTTATTACTGCAGTAAATAATTTTCTCATTGAACTGTGGCAAAACAGTTTATGAATAATGACATCCATTAAAAATGGCGAAACTTGATGGCACAAAATGTTCTATTTTATATTCTAATACTTGAAATTTTGACCACAAACCCACAAAAAAAAAAAGCCTGCTTTACATTCACTTAAAGCCTCTATGAACGGCCGAGGAAAATCCCAGACAGCCTGGCTGGCTTCAGAGCTTCAGTGTTGCCCACCGGTATGCAGTAGGTCTGCTGCTCCGAACAAGAACAGAATATTTTAGTTGGATCATAATCTTCATGAACTGACTGCACAGATAATGTTTTAAGCTCATCAAAGCACTCTCTCAATTCCTAGGAAAAGAACAGAACAGCTCAAAGCCTCGATCGCCAAGCATCCCAAGAGGCAAACATCTGATCCCAAAATGCAGAAGAGTCCCAACTTTAGGCCTTGAACACCTTTTTGACACTGAAAATTTGGTTGTCTAAACCTTCATTTATGCTTGGTCTGCGGTTGGGTGTGGTAGCTAAAATGCATCCGCACATCCGCATGGACAAAATTTCCATTAAAAAATTTGTAACAACTCAGATATCTCCCTGGAAAAACATGGTGGACGAAAGACAGCTCCTACCAGCAAGAGACTGCAAATATAGACTTCTAAAAGCATCTTGTGATTTAAGCCACAAATTACTGAGATGAAGAGATCACAAATATTTCTTAGAAAGAAATTACTATCAATCTCATGAAGAGGCCTTGATAATTTTGGAAATGGCTTTGTTTGTCTACTTCCTCATATAGCCTTGGTATTTGAGCTACTGGTTTGTGCTGTACATACCCCCCAGGAGCCTGCCCAAAATATCAGGTACAAGTGGAAAAAACGCATGGAATATGAAAGTTACAAACATCTCTGAGCGTCTAATTTTTTGTGTGGAACGTACATGCGTTAAGCATAACTGAGCCTTAACATGCATGCTTGGCATGAGCAATAGCTGCAATGTCAATGACACAATACAAGTGACTGTTGCTATACGCTCATCAAGAAGTAAATCCTGTCACTCAAAGGCTCAATGCAGTTTGCTAGGTTTCTTAAAACTCTGGTTTGAGATTACATGTGTTGTGTATCAGCTCTTTATAAATAACATGAATTAAAATCGACAGATGAAATAACTGACAGTTCTATTGTTTATTCAACCTGAAGAGAATAGAAATAATTATCTAAAACCATGCATCCACCTGATGTTGAAATTAGTGCATCTGTGTCTCTACGCATATGTTGTCTAGTAAAATTGTCAATTGTCAGCTGGAATACTTTCAGAGAATGAAGACTACAAAGAATGAGAAAAAGGGAAAATATACTATAACAAGGGAAAATATACTAAAGCTTCTAAAAAGCTCAAATTTTGCTTTAATTGATGAAAAGAAAAGAAACAAAGGATACCTAACCTTTCATGTAAGAGTTGCACCAAATAAGCCATTGGGCAGGATTTTCACAGTAGCACCTTCAGTGATGTACACAAGTGAAGGCAGAAAAAAAGGCCTGCACTAAATGCAAGCCATCATAGGCAGTTCAGAGGCTGTGTCTTCAGTCGGAGAAAATAAGTCCCTTCTTTGTAACATCAATGTTTCATTTTGTACAAAGCTGTGTTTTGTTTATGTTTTTCTTTTTTTCTCCAAACACAGCTGCAATGCAGCACTGCAGGGATATTTTCTGTCATGGAAATGCATGTGTACACTCTGTTTCTATAAACAGGAAAACTACAACTTTCTGACAGTATGGAGGAAACAAAATCTATATGCAGTTTAGGACATTTAAGACAGTAACTTCTAAGGAAGTTATCTTTTTTTTAAATAATAAAAAAGATAATGCTCTGGAATAAACAATAAACAATCCTCTGCATACAAAAAAATGCATAATCCACATATGCATGTGTACGTACAGTCTTAACTATACACAATTAGGGATAAATTGTTTGACAATGTCCTTGACTATGACTTTGAAAGCAGACTTATTATGGGCAGACCCTTACACTATCTCTTTCCTTCCTGGCCAGCTTTTGAGAGCAATGAATGATTGCTGAGAGCTCTGCTTTGTTCCTCATGTCCGTTTGGATAAGATCCATACTCAGAGGCACCAACAGAAACAGGCACAGCCACTGGACGTGGTCCCATACTATGAGGTCTTCTTGCAAAGCTTCTCTTAGTGAGAAGGCGAGCCAACCATCAGGCCTCTGTGGACCTGACTCCATCGGGACTGTCCAACCAAGCAGATGTTGCCTCAGTGGGCCAGCAGCAAGCACTGCCTTGTGGGACAAATGCCACTCAGTGTGTCCGCCTCCTCTGGGCACACACATATTCAGACACTTACAAAAATACATTCATGCTTGCTCTCTCCTTCTCACATCCTCTTACACACCCACACAAAAGTTAAAGCTGCTGTTTCCCTTTTCTTTTAAACCCATCTTGCTCAATATAGCATCAAAGCCCCACTTTATAGCTCTTTCCCTCAGCCATCTCCCTATCTTCCTTATGTGTGCCATTTGAGAAGCTTTTGCAGAGCTACACTCAGCTACTTGTCATATTGGGAAACTACAGAAAAATAGGCTGTTTTATAGCATAGCATATTTTGCCCTGGATTTTATCCAAGAAGCTTTGCTCCCATTTTATAAATGAAAGACAACAGATCATGTAAATATTTTGTTGTATATGTACATGGTTCAAGGTTTATTTTATTTGTGTAATTACATGGAAATCTCGGTGGCCTTTGTGTTACTTATTAAGGAATTTTACTGACATTTGCACTTTCTAAGTGCAGACTGATTGGCCTCCTAGCTTTTAATGTAAACAAATACATTAACAGTTGTACTTAGTAGATTAGCTAGTAAGTAGTGTTGCACCAATACCGATACCAGTATCGGGCGGGGCCACGATCAACCACTAAAATGGTGATATCAGTATCGGCGACTACCAAATAGGACACCGATACCATTTTGAGAGCCAAAAGTTTATTCAACTATTGTCACCCATTCCAGGAAGGCAATAAAAAGTTCTACTGGATTCACTTTGTATTAGTCTTTTTCCTGCTTCTCAAAGGTAGGCAGCATGTTTGACAAAGCCATGATGGCAATTATTTTACATCCAAATAGTATGCAGTTCTTCATATATAAACATGTATGTTTTATATAGGTATGGTATCGATATCAGCCAATACTTCACAGCCAGGTATTGGGTATATTTGTTTTTATTTTCTAACTCCACATATTCAGTTGCATCCTCTAAGTGCAGGATTGGCGCATCGTTGCCTCCAGGACTGCTTTAAATCCTAATGGTATAGATTCATTATAATAACTAAAACATTGCCACATGTTTAACCAAACACACTATCTATATTGATAGAATACCACTTTTTTGCAAGATGCCATTAGGTGCAGTAGAGTTCAATGAGTTAAATCTACCGCCCCACCTCATCAAATTTTAACGTACTGAAATCTTGGAATATGGTCATGAAGAGATCAGCACTGTGTGTACTCTCAGAGTAGTAAAAGGGACACTAAGATTGGATGGGGCATTTACATGTCCAAAGGGTACCCAGAAAATATTCCACACCATTATTACACTATCACAATCAGGAACAACTGATGTAAGGTAGAATGGATCCATGTTTTCATGTTGTTTACCTCAAATTCCCACCTATCTCAGAGCAGGTACGAATTTTCCTTTGTGTTAATGTTCATTTTTGGTGAGCTTGTAGCCTTGTTGTCCTGTTCTCAGCTTACAGGTACAACAGCCAGCATTGTATTCTGCTGCTGTAGCCCTTCAGCTACAGGGTTCAATGTTCTGTGTGGGCAGAGACTGTATTCTGCAGACCTTGGTTGTTGCAAGTGGGTGTTTGCGCTACCCTTGGCTTTCTATCATCATGTACCTGTTTGCCTATTGCTTTTCAAATTATGATGTGATCAAAGATTTTTTTGTCCATCAGACTGTCTCTTTTTCAATGTTTTCAACCATTGCCTAGTTAAAAGTGCCCTGAATCCTAAATATTGTTTACCATTTTCATACACTGTTTACCCTACAAGAAGTAATGTTCACCTTCAATCTTCAGTCTTGCCTTGAATTTCTACCCTGTGATTGGCTTTCTCACTTTAAATGCAAAGATTTAAGCAGTTTTACATAATAAATTAGCTAGTAAATGTTTTCTACAACAAACTAGCATAGCAAATTGGATTTATTTCTTTTGTTTTAAATGTGCTTCATGCAATAAATTTAGTTTACTTAAACACCTGACTAAATTTGACTTGTCTAAAGCCCTTACAAGTAAAAGGCCACCATGACCTTTGGAGCCTTTAGGAGGGATGTGTCAAGTGGCTGTTTTCAACAGTGTTAATTATTTGAAATCTTCCATTCCCCCAGTGGCTCCTACAGTGACACAGCCTGCGTTTTACTTCCACTCCGCTTCCCTGCTTTGTCCTCCAAGGCTGGCAAGATTGGCTAGTGTCAGAAGGAAGGGCACATCAGCCTGAATGCAAACTGTCATTTGAGCGACGAGCAGAATTGGGCCTATATAGGAGCAGAAGAGGGTTGCTGGCAGGGCTAGAATAAGGCAAAGATGAGAGTGTCACTATTACTTAAAGGTATAGTGGAGGATTTTAGCAAAATTTTTTAAAAGACCCGCCCTCTCCACTTAAAACAAAATGCACATGCACAACCCTGTATCTGCTCCTCACGGGAACACCTATTAAACGCATGTGAGAGCATGCACTAGCCAATTTTTCCTTGTGCACGCTCTGTTTAAAGGTTGCTGTTAGCCTAACTCCTATAGGCTTACTTTCTAAGAAGATTTGCAATTTTTCCTCTATGTCTGACTCCCCACCGATAAGTGAAAATGGGGACGAGCACTTAGGACGGTCTTACATAAAGATATCACTTATTTTGATCACCCGGAAAAAGAACATCCTCCACTATAAGTTTAATTGACATAGAGAAAACAGAAAACTGACCCGACTGAGGACCAAACACAAATATGAATTGTCAGTACTCATAACATTGGGCCCAGAATTCAGGCTGACAGACTGAAGTGATTTATAAACTATGTTTATTAATTCCTCAGAGTTCTGTGTCTCAACAGCTAGACTTAGATGGCTGCAATGCCTGTAGAGAAAGAAACACAGGTTATTGACCACCTAACTCTGGCGGGGTACGATAGAGAGCATCTGAGTCACTAACCTGGTTATTAAGTCCAAGCCCAGAGGAAGGAGTGGAATTCAGCTTGATGATTTTTGACACAGCATCCAGCTGAAACCGCCCAGAGAGTTCAAGGAGTAGAAGATAAAGATGCTGCAGAGCAGACCGACACAAGGTCGCTAGCAGGAAGAATCCAATGGAAGTCCAAAGACAGGTCAAGTAAAAAGATCAGAACAGGGGCAGGCAAACTCAGAAGTCCAGGGGAAGAAACAAGTCATGATAAGGCTATCAGAATAAACACAATGGGGTAAGCCAGAGACCTCTCACCTACAGCTCGAATAATCTGGCACTGATGGCTGGGACCAAGCAGTTTAAATAGAAACTGGAACAAGTGGCTCAGATTAGTGATAATAAAAAACTCACTAGAGCTAACCAGATGTAAGAAATGAATCATAATCCATTCATCAGTGCCAATGACACTGATTAAGATAATTATTAAATATAAAGCCTCTGTTAAAACAGCAACGGGAATAGGAAACATTTGGAGAGAGACAGGTCAGTTTCAAGAACACTCAGAGAAAAAGCCAACTTCTCCAGACTCTGATGGAGATGGGAATTCTTTGTGTTCCTCAGTGATAGTTAATGGCAGGGTAATGATGTGACTTCAGGTGAAGAGGAGGTGAAACAGACAGGCTTTTCTTTACAGCAAAAGCCACTGACACAATGGGCAAACAGATTGGGGGATGATGCATGAATCGATGGTTCTAGAATGGAAGCAAAGTCAGAACAGTGGAGGCAGATTCATGCAAACAGATCCAAAGGGCTGAGAATCAAGGTAAATAGTCAGTGACTAGAAACGGGGTCATGATCCAAAACATCAGAAAGCTAGCAAGATTATCCAGTAAGGTCAATGTGAGACGGGGAAATCCAGGAAAAGAAAAAGACATGATCAGGCAGGCAACCGAGGAAAGACGGCTGGATAATTTCCTCACACAAAGTATTTCAAATAATCTGGCAATGACCGAATCACTGGCAGAGGCTTATAAAGCCAGAAAACGAGGTGAGCTGAGTTAAGTTGATTTGGAATGGACATGGTTGGCACTTGTAGAAAGAATAGGCACTCAGCTTGACAGTGAAGAGCAGAGCAGAATGTAAACACTGGTGATCAATCAGGCCAGAATCATAACATAATCAGAGACATTATCTGCTGAAGAATCCTTTTTAGTCTCTAATCTAATGATGTAATTACAGTACTAAGGAATTATGTTCTTTATTAGAATGTAGGGCATTTGATGTTCCATTGTTACCTTTACATTTGTAAGATGATATGTTAGATATAAAGAAATGGTAGCTTTAATGAGTTGTGTAGCTTCCACCATTGTGTATAAAAGCATCGACATTCTGTTTACAAAACTCAGGGGAGCTGCAGTGTTGCTCATCGACATCAGTGTGTGAGTGTGTGCATTAATAGGTGAATGAAAGAATGTAGAGTAAAGCGCTTTGGGTCAAGTCTTTCGACTTGAAAGAGCGCTATATAAGAACAGGCCATTTATCATATTCAGACTTGTGATTTCAAACTTTATAATCTTTATCAGACATATTTATTAGTTTTAAAAATAGTGTAGAGAGTAAATAAGAGTCTGACTGCTAAAGATAGCTCTACAGACTCCAAATTAGACACCTTTATTAGTTTTAAAAATGCTGTCTGAGTAGAGAGAATACGAGTCTGACTGCTAAAGATAGCTCTGCAGAACTCTGTGCACTTTAAAAGCTGTAAAATAGCATCTACTGTATGTGTAAATAGGTTTGCAGCTAAGTTGCAGCCCGGTAACCTTGTCTTTGAACTGAATTCTTCTGGGTATCTATGTGTTTACAACCACACAAGAATCAATCTTGTACCGGTTCAGCTTAGGTTGTTTAAGTCTATTTCAAAAGAGGTTATCCAATCAAGTTGCAGAATTGTGATATAAGGTAAACATATAGTTGTGGGAAAAGCATGGGCTGCTAAGCTCACAGCCAAACCAAAATAAACATGGAAGCGCAGGAAGACGTATGGTTAGCTACCGTTATCACATCTGTTTTGTCAGAATCCACAATTTCATCTTTAAAAAAACAGCAAGAGAGTAAATGTATAATTGATAAGTGTATAAGTTGTCATGAGTACTCATACACTGCTGCCATTGAATTTGTGACTCTGATAGGCTAAATCTAAACTTCTAGGTGGGTCCTTGGTGTCGCTTCACCCAAGCGACTTGAGAGATTCTGCTGATAGTCTCTCCTTTCCTCATACAGATTCGATGGAAGCGGGCCCAGAGTAATAATGTGTAGAACTAAACCTAAGTGCTACACATTATCCACCTCACACTCATAAAAAAATTAATGTATAAAATGCTCTAATTCTCTCTTTAGGTCATCAACGCTATTGAACAAGATTACCGTTTGCCACCACCCATGGACTGCCCCAGTGCCTTGCACCAACTGATGCTGGATTGCTGGCAGAAAGACCGCAATGTACGACCCCGATTTGCAGACATTGTCAGTACCCTCGACAAAATGATCCGAAACCCCACCAGCCTAAAAGCTGTAGCCAACATCCCTGCTGTGTGAGTAAAACACTTCATACAACACACAACAACCCCCCCTTAACTTGACTTTAAAAATGCTTTTTATCTGTGTATTTCTGCAAAGTTGCCACACGCGTTCTGCACAATATTTATGTATATTTTTTATCATCTCATTAAATATGAATGGTTTTATTACTGTTGATTGCATCAAATCTGAACTTTTCCTCTGCTGTGTTTTTTTCCTCCAGTTGAATCATGATACTTTCAGTTTCACCCTAGTTATAGCCATTTGGTATTAGAGCAAATATATTTTGTGTAAAAAAAAAAAAAGAAAAAACAACTAACGAATAAAAAGCTTGCACTCAGAGTAATAACAAACATTTTTAATTTAAATATATACATTTAATATTTACAAAACATTTTCCTCAAATGTTATTATTCTTTACATGGCCAATATGTCAGTGGGTATTACATACTTATTTTTGAAATAATTGCACTTTTACATAGAAAGATATTCTTGCACTGTGCTGCTGTGTTGGAGAAATAATTTAAGTTTGGATCAAGCTGGAGCAAGTTTAGCAACAATATCGTCCCTAAAATCAAACTTCCAAAGTGAGCTGAGCCTTCTAACGCACACTAACATCTTAACGTAATCTACTAGGATTTTAAATGGTCTCTTATTGCAATTGATTCAAATAGTTTATATACAATTCAGCCTACTTTAGTTGCAACAGTTGTGCTAAGGAAAAAGGCTTATGTGCCACTTGTATAATAATAATATAATAATTTATAATAATTATAAAAACATTCTACATTTGTCAAGATTTGTAATTTTATCAGAAACTTTATTCTTAAATAGCGTATTATATTTTTAAAATCTGCTGGGATTTTGTAGGTCTCATTTAGTTGATCAAATTAACTCTGCAAAAGTAAAATCAATGGATATTGTTCACGCTTTACCGTACATGGATAAGATTTTCAAAGGTTGTTCATCAGTGTAAACCTTTTTCCTGGATTTAATCTGTTTCTACCCTTTACCCCCTACACAGATTCTCTGAATCTTTGGCTAAGCTATCAGGGTCAGTCAGAATCTTTAAGCTATTTGTTCTGGCATTGTGATTTGGGTTGCTGCCATGTTACCCGAAGGAAATTCTTGGCTCTCTCTCAGTCTGAAATTTTGCAGTAGGGCATGTTTATACTTTTAGGTCTTTAATGTATTTGGATAACCCTTTTCTACCATTATGAGCCTTTTTTTATGAGTGATGTTTGTGAGATGAAGGTTGACATGTCCTTTTATATTTGTATTTTTTGTTCCCTTTAAAACACCTTCAGGTAGATAGATTCATTGTAAAGACCCTTCCTGTTTGTTTTGCTTGTACCTTCTCATATACACCCACGCAAACACAAACCCCACATCCACTCTTGTTTTCTTGAAACGCTGCTCGTTTAATATTGCATCAAAGTCTTTTTCTCTTCCTCATCTCACCTGCTCCCTCTTGGCCCCTCCAGGCCTTCTCAGCCACTTTTGGACAGATCCATACCAGACTTCAATACCTTCAGTTCGGTTGAGGACTGGCTTGCTGCCATTAAGATGAGCCAGTACAGAGACAACTTCCTCAACTCAGGCTTTACCTCCCTGCAGCTTGTGGCCCAGATGACCTCAGAGTGAGTTCAGTAGATTTTGTAAGATGAAGCATTTGAAAACCATACGGCTATCAACTGGAAATAGCTACTTATAGATACTATCACTGTGCTTCATGTTATTTTGATTATTCATGTTGTGAAAATGTAAATATATTCCTGAGTTTTTATTAAAAATGGATGCTTGAGGCCTTGATAGTATTTATGAAGTCTATTTGCAATTCCAAGTAACATGGTTTGCAGATTCTTCTCTCAAGTTATTAAATTAATTTAGCAAATCTGTGTTTTCTGTTAATCGCCACTAACTCTCTGTGCTAAAATTATACTTGCTCATGTAGCGATTGTTAATGCAATAGAAAGATGGTAGACATTTTCAGGCTGCATAAACCTTTTCACAGTTTGTTATCTTACAATCAGAAACCTAAATTGTAATTTTATGTGATGTATATAAATGTATAATAAGTAACACACAATTGTGGCATTCAGGGGAAATACTACACATTTTATTTTATTAGTAATCTGAAAACTGTGTTATCTGTTTTTATTCAACTTCCCTCAGTATATTGAAGAATCAATTTGCCCATTCTTTGGGAAATGGCTCAGTTTATGTCAAACTGATACAAGAACAGCAGTCTCAAATAAGTGTACAGATTCCTATTAGGATTTAAGTCATAACATTTACTCCCTGTAACACGTGTATGTTTTAAACTGATCCATCTTGTAGCTCTAGTTTTATTTTTGTGGTGTTTGGCCTGCTGGAGATGATAGAACTCTCCCTTAGACTCAGATCTTTTATTTTCAGCTTCTACCAGGTTTTTCTTCAGGTTTGCTTTGTACTCAAATCTATAAATTTAACCATATTTTCTGTTCCTAGAACAAGTTGCTGCATATTGGTGGTTATTTAATTATTTCCATCGGCTACTAGCATTTAAATGTTCAGTATGCTGGCTATGAGATATAGAAACTTAATCCCATCTCATCAGAACACTGTCCTACAACATCCCTTAATTTGTTGTTGCAAACAGCTAAGTGGACTTTTAAAAAATACTTTTTCAATAACACCTTTATTTGCTGCTACTCCCCCTTAAGGGCCTTATTTGTTGAATGCATAACTAATAGTGGGGGATTCCCCAACCTAAGCTATGTAGCTCCTCTGGAGTTATCCCAGGCCTCTTGGCTTACTAGGTGGATTCTGGTTTGAAATCTTCAGCTGGACAGCCATGCATCGTTGAGTTTACAGCTTTGCAGTTTGGATTTAAAGGGCTTTGTGGGATGTTCAAAGCTTGAAGTTTTCAATCTTTGTTAATAAATAATTTCATAATATACTATTATTTTAAAATTGTCCACAAATTAATCTATACTGCAGTTACTTCTTTTCATAATGCTTTTAAATAGCAAAACCTCTGAAGAACACTTTTATTTAAACCAAAATTGGTTTACATATAAGTGAATTCAGTTTATTAATTAAAGCGACTTGTAAGGACAACTTGTGTTTCCAGATTTTCTTTCTTGGTATCAAAAGAAAGAGTGCTTACTACATATACATGCCACATGTAAAATAGTTTCAGAACTATATGTAGTTTTACATTCTATATCCATACTGTATAATGTCTTTATATATAATTTAAATAGAATACACAGAGAAGTGTGTTTGTATTGTAACAAGTGTAAAATAAGGGGTATAAATCCTTTAGGGAGGCATTTTAGTCACATACAGTATTATTCAGCCTATTTGTTCTAAATTTAGAAGTTGAATGTGACTGGGTTTAATTTTTAATGGAAGCTGTGAATTTTCCTTTCATTTACCCCTTTGCTTGTTTCCCATCTAGGGACTTGCTTAGAATAGGAGTGACCTTAGCAGGCCATCAGAAGAAAATCCTCAGTAATGTCCAGTCCATGAGGGTGCAGATGAGCCAGTCACCGACAACGATGGCATGACTACAGGAGGCGCTGTGCCACGGAACGGGCAGCATTCGGAGGACCAAAAACATCAGCCCACGAATGACCCCCGATCCATCGGAACGCGCCAGAGTTGAGACTATCGTCTTAATCTAAACATCTGTTATGGCAACAGGAGACCAGGGTTTACGCTACTACATGGAAAACAGTTGTTACATCTCATGCAATCCTCCTCATGCATTCAGGGTCAATACCTGGCACTTTTTCTCCACTCTTCACAAAAGGAAGACGGCAACAACTTTTGTGGTTTCCAGTTACATTTGTGTCATTACAAACCAAAATTACTCCTACAATCGGACATCGAGACAGGGAACAACTTAGGAGTTATGCCGTTGTGGTAAATTAATTGATATTGTGCTTCTATATTATCTGGACTAAAAAAAAGTAAAAAATGTAGACACAAGTGTGAGACATTTAGAAACCTGTGACCTGTGCTTTATATCCATACGGTTGTCATTGTGGGAGAGAACGACTCCTTGACCTGATGGAAGCAGCTAGAAAGTTTAACTAACTGGAGAGAGAGGCATACAGGGATGTACAGTGGAGCACTAATTTCAATGTTTTCTTTGTTTTTTGCTTGTTGTAAATTTTTTAATATTGTATAATAGATTAACAAATTCAGAGCTTATTTCTATTTTTGTCCTTTACCACCCGTTTCTTGTGTTGCAACTATAGCAAGATACCACCTACTTGTCTCTTAACTTAAACACTACCTGTGGAGGTTTGGTTGGTCGGTCTTGCCTTCTCCACCATCTCCACCAAGAGAATATAAATATGTTTATCTCTTGCTAATATGATTATATCTTTCATAATAAACCTTCATATTGAAGGTGTTACATATTAATATGTATGTACAGAACTCTCTGCTTGCATTTTTGGCAAAGACATGTTGACTAGATTGTGATAGACACATGCAATGTGTAGTTTCCTGTAAATCCCTGGATTCCTTATCACAGCTGAACAACGGACAATTGGTTGAACATCTTCATGATCCAGGGACACCATAATGACTCTTCTGACTGTACTTTAACTAAGGAAAATGTTAACTGATCACTGAGAGAGAACTGTTATTGTAAAGTTGTATAAAGATGTTGTAGGAGTTAAAGTATTGGATAAAAGTATTTTACTGGAGATCATGTTAAATGTAGGTGTACACATGCTGTCCTCTGCTGATGAGCACTTACATGTACAGATATGGCTTATGCTCCATTTGCATTTTTATATATTGCTTGTGTTTGGATTTCTCATTAGAATGTAACACTAATTTAAAGATGGTCCATACAGTAGGCTGTCCCAAATTCATGATAGGCAGCTGCTGATCATAAAGAAAACAAAAACCTACAAAGGCATTTGCATTCAGTTGCTCTACATCTAAAGAGTTTCATCTTGAGGTAAATTCTACCAAATGTATATATCTTAGCTGAAGCAAGACTTTCTTCAAATTTGAAATGCATGAGAAAGCATCTAATCAAGGCATTGGAAATCAGTTTAATTCTGCATCACTTCCTTTCAAAGTGAAAATGAACATCTGGGCTGAGGTTTGCCAACAGGCACCCAGTGCCATATCAATGAACACACAGTCTTAAACAGCCCTAAAGAGCCCATTGCTCACAAAAGAAATGACCTTACAAATGCTGCTGTATTTATCTTTGGCATCTATCAATGCATCCTTGCTGAGGGTGTTAACCGATTGAACAGGCAAGATGAAGCCAATTGCTGTCCTATTATAGAGAGTTGCAAAAAACGCACTTGGTGACAATAATTCTTGAGGATGTTCTGATTGCTGCCTATAAAATTGTCCTCATATTTAATACAGTAATAGAAAAATAGTCTTAAGTTATTTGTTTTAGTTCTGTAAAAGGGTTGATATTATGCAGTTTGATCAAATAAAGTGATGAACAAAAGCACTGAAGAACAGAATTTCCCCTTTAACTAGTTAATAATATATTGGATACCATTGTCATAATTATTCTTTATCTGTTGTTATTAAGTAATTAATATTGAATATAGTATATCAAAATTGTTTAAGTGTTGCTTCATTTGTTTCATTTTGCTACTCAACACATAATTTAGTTGTGTGCTGAAAACGGCATTACATAATGAATATGTGAGCTATATGCATATTAATTATTTGAAAGTACAAACTGGCTTGAGAAAGGGAACAGATTCTGCTTCATAAAGAGACAGTTGATGTCTGGGCACTATTAAAACCTATAGTTTGATGCATCCTTATACAATAATGAAAAACGAAAAAAAACAATTTGGTTATTGGTAAGGCCCAAAAATATTATTGTAAGTGTTCTTTATGAGGTTTATATTTAAGGGATCTAATTGAGATTAATAGTTTATATTCTTAGCAAGAACCTCTTTGCTTTCCATTGACAACCTCAAATAATATATATATGTTACATTTTGCTAATAAGCTACAACCAATCCTCTCAGTTATACTCAGTATTCTCTTTCGCTGCGCTTTTTTCCAAGCCACTCTAGTTCGCTGGCGGGCTTCCAGCTCGTTTATCCTTGGTTTAACCAAGCTGTCCAGGGCACTGTCTGAGGCAGGCTAGACCAGTGCTGGCCAAAGAAATAGTTGGCTCCATGCTTCAGTGGGCCCAGGCAGGGTGCGAACACCTGCTAGGACCCCTGTCTGACAGGCATCTGATCAGCAATGGGGGAGGGAGAATGATTGGGCCATGTAAATGGACACAAATGCACACCACTCTAAATGTGAATCCAAAATATGCTCCTAAATCTTTTTTTTTTTTTTTAAGGGAAAGCATTACAATGTGTAAGAAAAGATGGTAGAAAGAGAGGGAGAAGCTGTTTAGAGGAAAGCTAATTTGCAAGTAAGACATTAAAAGGATAAATAGAAGAAACTCAGATTCTGTCTCTTTTAGCTTGAAAGTTAGTTGATGCTGCCTTATCCTTTCATTATATAAATGCTCATTTCTTCGGTTAGGCTTGGGAAATATTGTAATTAAGCAACTGCTTTGCCCTTTTGGACGAATTGCATTTTGTTTAAACTGCACAACTCATTGATTTTCCAACTAAACATAATAATATATTCCTTAATGCAGGCTTAGATACCTTTCATTAAAAACCATTTCATCAATTTGAATGTATTAGTTATCTATTCAGCTCAGTCATGTGTGTTTCCTTTTCAACCCTTTAGCTTGTGACTGAGATGGTGAATACATTTATTTTCTAACTGTGCAATTCTTTTAGCCTCATTTGCTCTGTTTGTCTTATGAAATGTCGTACTGTACAGTAACACTCCAGTATGATGAATAGAGAGATGGTTTTCAGTTCCTCTATAAAATGAGCTTTCTACTGAAGCCATTCATCACATACTGATACAAAACACAAGATGAGGAGAGCTTGTTAAGCGTTTCATGGTGTCGTAACTGTTTGAAGAGTGTCCAACAACTCGTTTAGTCACTGGAATCATCCCTTGCTTTTATGGATCAGCTATATACACCTGAAAATGACACGTCATTGCTCCCAGCAAAGACTGTTGTCATTTAAGTGCATCACGTTTTGTTTCTTTCTGGCTTTTCAAAGATTTATGCGCATTTATAACACTTCACATCCATCCAGATATATACAAACACTGTGAATATATAAAAAAGAAGAGTTTATGTGGTCAGTCGGGGAGAGGAAGATCAGATGAACTGACCTTTTCCAAAATGTTGTCACAGTCTCTCTCTTTTTGGTACAGATTTAATGAGAGAGGATTGTGAGTGCACATGTTATCTGTTTTTTGTGTGAGGGACAGTGGCTGTATGTTTTGTACATATTTGACTTAGTTATATGTACAGAAGTTGTGTGCACATATACAATGTTGATAAGTATGAATGGTTTTCCAATTATTTTTTCTTCCATTTCTGTATAGCTGCCACTTGTAAATTGTGAAAGTATGTGTCAAAGGTTTGTAAGATGTAACTTTCAGAACAATTGTACTAAAATGCACTTAATAAACGCCTTGGAAAACAAATCAGTCACTTTTTCTGCCTCAGATTTAATGGACAATAATTATGTATGTCAACAAAAACGGTCAAGAGTGATTATTAACCAGTAGCACTTGTGTCAACAAATTGACATCTAATACTTTTATAATTACTACGACATAAACAACTTTTAGTCACTGACATTTTGAGTGGCAGCACATGTTAAAAGCCATCAGATATAAATAAACAATCCATTATTTGGAATATAAGTAGCATTTTGAATCCCTCCGGATTAATTACAGCCATTTATCTCCTCATTTAAATGCTTATCTCTGTCCTGAACATTCATTTTTCAAGAACCATAGTTTCTGGAAACCATTTTGTACAGTAATTATGTTATTAATGAGGTATGTCAAAAATATGGTTCCAAATTTCAACATTCTTTTATAGCAGTTTATTGAGTAGTTAAACATAAATGGTCTTATACTTATATACAGAGCATAACACCACACACATGTTAAGATGAACAAGGTCTTGAATACATTTTTCTTTTAAAAACTCAATTTCAAGTCATAATTCGATTAAGTGGTGAATCAGGGTTGGTTCTATGTCATATTTGTGGTTTAAATATAATATGTGAAATTTCAGAAGAAATGGCTACATTTTATAGATATATAAAGACAGTCTTAAAACTATAAAAAGTAATTAATATGAATTATTTAAAACTAATTAGAAACTGCAAACCAAATGAGGATGCTATGCTTTACATGCATTCAATAATTTTTTCTTATCATACTCCATTACAGCATGTGTGTAAGTTGCTCCTGCTGTTACCAAACGCATTGGCTCTTTATTCATGGTTACATTAAAAATATAAAATCTAATTACCTTTAATCACCTAAGTTTTTGATTTGTTAAAAGAATCAACCAAAGCATTAATCATTTAGTGCCTCAGCCACTATTTACATTTATGGAAAGACAAAATAACAAGAGTCATTAAAAAAACCCAAAATCAGGACTATAAAATACTACAGTGCAAGATGACCTTTGGACAGAAAGCCTCCTATGTTGAACATTTTCAGCTTTGAAACTCACTACAATCTGACTTTAAAACCATAGCTATGGTTAACATTCCAAAAACGTTAAAAAACAATGGAGATGATTTTGTTTCCAAGTTTGAAGACGTTTCACTTCCCTTCCAGGAAGCTTTACCAATCATCAACTCAACGCTATATCTGACATTTTAAATTGAAAAGTGAAACCTCTTAAAACTTGGAAACAAAGTCCAGCGGACTGTTTTTTTTTGTTTTTTTTTTACTTATTTGGAATGACTATGACCTGGGTGACTGGGAAGCTTCACCACCTACATGTTCCAGGATTAATAATAAATTAAGATCAACCTGAAATGTATTCAGTTTAAATTATTGTATCTGGTTTAAGACAGTTTGTTTCAAAACATTATTTTAAAACATTCTCCACATGTTTGTTTCCCATATTAAATTTAACTGTTAGACTTTTAGGGACAACTGTTGTGAAATAGCCTTAGCTCTTAACATCTAAGATGTAAGCATACAGATTGCTTTGAGGAAATAATCTATATTTGTTGTATCTGCTCCTATCAAACAAACAATTCATAAAAATGAGTAAAGCCAATGAAACCAAACCCTCCCTACAAGATTTTAACACAACAGAGAGAGGAGATTAAAATCAAAATGTGCTTAAAGTCCTAAACAATCTTGAACTAAGCATGATAGTCACAGAGTTCTTGCGGTATTTACATTGAAAGCTAATATTTTTGCTTACATTATTCATAATGATGGCCATGTTAGCCAGCTTTTTCTGAAATAACTTGGTTGGCTTGCTTTTCGATAATTTAAATACATCAGTCAAAATATGTAGATGGCTTAATTTTGCCATGAGTATTTTACGGAAAAACTGTCCTTGGATATGATGGCAGGATGTAAAGCTCATCTATTTCCTTTAGCTTAAATGACCCCACATAACACTATATTCAGAGCAATTAGAGTGGTAGAGGAAGTGTTATCCTTGTGATAAGAAGCTCTATGTGATAACTCACCGTGAGCATGTGTATTAGAGAAACAGAGAGGCAGAAATAAGAAGCATACTTCTTATTGTTTACTATAGTTGTAAGTGGCAGTTCATCAGCGAGAGGGGGGTCAGGTCACCTGGTTTTCCAATAAAGTCGTATGAAGTTTCAAAAGTGACTTCTCTGCTGTAAATCTCTGCCTTGATCAATATTCACACAGCAATCACCTGTGAGAAAGGGATTTCTTGCACAGCAGGGAACTCCAGCAGAAAGAAAAAGAGGGAGCTGGGACAAAATACAATCCTTTCAGTTGTGTAGAACAAAGTGTAGAAAGGTTAAAGCACAAACTGTGTTCAGGACAGAGAAAAAAAAAACAAATCAGTAAACAGGAGGCAGAAATAATAGCAGTGGCCTCACAGGAACACAGAGAGAACAGAGATGAATTTCTATGAAAGTAGAATTTCCCAAATGCTTGTCATTACCTTATACTTTCTGGTTTACCTGTGTTTTAAGTATTTTTAATTTTTTTTAATAAATACAAATTCAGGAGAAAGCAGAAATCCAACAATAAGCTGACTAAAGCTCTGTTTATCCCCAGGAACCGGTCTCTCCCCTCGTGAGATTGTCCAAGACCTAAATCTGATCTCAGAGCTTGCTGGGGGCTGCAGCTCAGCAAACTATGTGCATATTTACTTTAATCTTGGAAGCTGAGGAAATATCCCAACCACACACCGCTTAGTGGAATCCTGTGTTCTGTCGTGCATAATTTTACAAGTAAAGAGCTTAAAACTGGTACCGAATAAAAACCCAAAACAATCCAGTCTTTTTTTTTATCATTGAAAACATTTGTGTCATAAAATATTTATCATTTTCAGGCGCTTTTTGGCTGTTATACATTTGCATTTAGTTTACAATTTTACTTACACAGAGAACACGTTTTCTTAAAGAGAGGAGTAGAAGTTAATAGGCATTATTAGGATATTTTCCATTTTTAAAGAAAAATCAATACAACATTATTAAATAAGATTTAAACACTTTTGTTTAGATCTGAAGCCAACATGGAGAGCAGTAAAAGTTTCATAACTTGAGTCTAATTTTATTATGGTTTTAACAAAAAAAATGATGACAGAACACACACAAACTTGGCGGATAGATGGAATTGACTGATGTTACCTTCATCCATAATAAGCTTTTTGCTGCAATATTCATGTGTAAGTCTATAAGACTTTGTTTTGTTTTGTTTTGTTTTAGGCACACATACGAAATTCAAGCTGAGGAAGAACTAAACCAATGTAGTGTTAAACCACCACATTGACAAAATATTGTAGTGTTTTGCAAGCATCTTTATACTCTAGACCTTTTTAACATTTTGTTACAACAGATCTATAGGAATGGATGATGCTCCCACTTTGTCACAGGAAAATAGCCCTAAAGATACAACCAGAGCTCTATTGAAGGGGTTCATATTATAGAAGATTATTTAATTACAATGACCCATGCAAAGTCACAGTGTCAAAAGACACATAAGAAACACACATTTCTCAGGCTTCTATTAAAAAAATGAAATAATTTTCTTTTTCAGTAAGAAAAAAAACTAGTAGCCTATCTGCTAATTGACATAAACCCCCCAAAGTTTGAAGTACATTGAGGTTTGCAGATGTGTTATTTAAAAGTGTTATTTAAATGCTTAAGGGGGATAAATACTGGAGTAAGTCATTGTATCTGCAGGAAATAAAATTTGGATATCCCAAACTAGTATGATGTTCTCAACATGATTTTCTACCTTAACCTGTATCTGAAGGATTTTAATTACCTCCTATTCAGCAAGTCAAGGGGTGGGGCTTGATCTCCAGAGAGATAAAGACCAGAATGCAAACAGCTCTGAAAGTGTTTACACTATTACTTGCTTATGTGAATTTCATAGCTTATATGTGTAAAATGTGGCTTTCAAAAAAAGTAACTGGACTACTAAGAGGAAATATAAAAACAGTTGTTTTAAGCATATTAAGGCATTACATTTATAATGTGCTGACTTTTATAAAAGAACTTGATTGAGTATTGCAAAAAAAAAATAAAAAATCTATAAAAGCAAAAACAATTCATTTAATTTCACAAAGGTACTGATTAAAAAGCAGCTAAATTTGGAGATACTAATTTGGTAAATCAAGATATAAGTAGGAAGATTCAAACTATGTCCTTTAAAAGTGGTGTATAATTCTCCTTTTGTGTACGGGAAGAGAAATCCAGCACCTGGGTCAAATGAGATTTTATGTCTCCAAGGAGTTTATCAAATTTAATTATGATACATATAATTACCAAAAGCAATCTTGTGTGTGGTAGGAATAATCATTTTAGAAGTCGGCACCTGCAGGGGTAGGGCATAATTTACATGTGGTCTAGGGTGACAGAGGGAGGGAAATAAAGGAGAGAGAGAGCCAGAAACAGGTGACTGCTAAATACTTTGCTGAGCAAGCTGGCTTTATGCTCAGCGTCTTTACTATAGGAGCTCAAGAAATGACTAAAACTGTCAACCACACTTAAAAAGATTAAGAACAGCTTTTACTTTTTAGCATCTGATTACTAAAGGAGATTTGACAAATGCTCGATTTTATGTTACTTTAAAAACACAGCCATCCTTCATCCCTGTTCTGCTAAGAAGAATATAAACAGAAGCTTCGCCAAACCCAGATGTTTTTTAATGAGTCGGATTTATCATAAAAAACAGAGAAGGGTGGCCAACATAAGTTTTGCTAAGGCTTAGAGTAAGCAATAGGAGGTAGAAGAAGGAGTGAGCAATGATGGGATCATAGCTGTAATAGGTTCTTTCAGAAGGTGAGAATGAGTAAGGGTTGTAGAAGGGGACATTTCACTGTAACCACATACACACTGACTCATACATGGACATAGCCTCAGCAGCTCTCCACCCGACATAGAAACCCCCTGCAGTGTCTAATCCTGCACAGAGCCCTTCTCAGCTCCGCCCGGC